GTTCGGCACTGCTGACTTCCAGCCAATTATTAACCACTTATGACAGGTGAACTCGCCGGTTTGCATGCAGCTTGTGCATATGGCCATGGCATTTGTTGGCCTTGCATGGCGTGAACGCCACCAGCTGTGTTGGCGCCTGAAGTGATCTCAGCCGCAGTCCCACCTTTCGCTTCGGCAACGTTGAGCTGACCCCTACCACCTCGCTCTTCGAGCACAAGAACAGTCACTAGAAGAACAATGGAGGGGGATGAACTACCTGATCTCGAGATTGGGGACTACTCAGCGGAATACAATTTGCGCACATCGGAACGAAACGTGGGCCAAGGATCACCAACTTCAATCGCGAGAGGCATCCTGCAGGGAGACAACATTCACGACTTTGGAAGAGCCGCGGAGGGCGAACAATTACCCGATATCATCAAAGGAGACGCATTGGAGGACAACGAGATTCGCATACTCGTCCTGTATCCATCAGATGATTACAATGACCCACTTCGAGGCCACACAGAACGACAAATATTGATGCCAAATGGAACAATGGGAAGCGACGGCGTCGTGGATGAGGACCAATATGAAGCTCTCTCATACACATGGGAGACAAACATCTATGGAGGCTTCATCTCCATAGACAATGTTGACCTACCAATACCTCTGAATCTCAAGCTCGCCCTACTGAGAATTCGGCATGAGGAACGCGCGCGACGGATTTGGGCCGACGCCGTCTGCATTAACATGGCCAATTTGATCGAACGAGGCCATCAGCTTTCCATGATTCGACGCATCTTCCGATATGCCAAGGAAGTTTTAGTCTGGACAGGAGAAGTGTCTAAGAGTACTCCAGATGTACTTCTGTTCTTGCGCCGCCTCGCGGCGGGCTCCGTCACGAACGACCCGGTATCTCGCAAAGAATACGCCACAGAGTGGCAAGCTGTACAAATCTTATTGATGAACCTGTACTTCACACGTATATGGGTTGTACAAGAAATCGCTGTCGCCCGTCATATTACCATTCTCCACGGAAATTCTTCGCTTGACTGGATGTGGTTCCTTACTGCAATTCGTATCTCTCGCAGAGAGTTCGCTCACAACAAAGCCATATTGTCAACATATGTCGATAGTCACGTCGACAGGGCCATTTCTTTCGTACTCAACATCGACAAATGCTCTTGTCTCGGTGAAGATGGATACACAAGAGTATTTACGTCCACCTTGGAGGATTTGGTGTTCAAGTTCTCGACTGCGAAGGCTTCTGATCCACGGGACAAGATATACGGTCTGCTAGGGATTGCTAAAGATGCTCATCTGTGGAAATCGAACGAAGGTTTCCCCGACTATTCAAGATCATGGGAGGAAGTCCAGAAAACATTTTACATGTCTTGCGTCAAGTACTCCCAAAGCCTGGATGTCATTTTCCGTTCGTGGCCATGGCCTCGATCAAAGCCATGGCTATTGAATCAGACTGACGAAACAGATTACGCGGTTCCTCTAATACAAGCTCCTGGGCAAGCTTCGCCATACAATCTTTTCGACGGTTACCATCTAAGACTCACTCGACCAACGCTCACTGTGCTAAACAGCGACCACATACTCACCAGAGGCTACCTCTTCGACAAAGTAGGAAGCATCACTGATGTTGATGATACTTCGGACACACTCTTTCCTGCATCATGGCTGTCTGAAGATTTCATCACCGATGCCCCAAAGCTTGCTCATACGCTACTGACCGAGGTTGAGGGGGTAGACTTCGATCCAAGTCTCAATCTCGTTCGATGCATTAGTCGATTAGCGGAAGACTCTGAAAGTAGGGAAGATTACTCCACTCGGCTATCGAAACTTCTTAAAGCTTTCGAGGATCTGCATGCTTTGACAAAAGGCCGGAGGCTATTCAGAAGCAGAAGGTGGTCGATCAAAGGCCTTGGTCCTGCTTATATGAGGGCAGACGACTGTAAGTGTACCCTCATCTTTCAACACATGCTATACAACTGACAAGCGGGGAGTGATCTGCTTTACCCCACGATGCAGCGTTCCCATTGTACTCCGCAAGATGGAGAATGAAAGCTGGCGATATCAAGTCATCGGAACATGCTATGTATGCGATTATATGTCGGGACGGATTTCAAATTTGCTGGCTAAAAAGAAACTGTCTACCATCGAGTTCGCGGTACCATTTGGAGCAGACGAGTCGACTTCAAAAGTCGCTAGTACTGCTGCGCACATTGTGAACAGTGATTCCACTAGAGAGGTGCTGGATCTCGCACGAGACTCGAGGACACGTATATCTAAAGCTTCCACAAACCCATCTATGGTTCGCGAGGTGGATGTACCGCAGTTAGTCCAGGGCTTTCGTATGTATTGGATCTGTGTAAGTAAAGTTTCACGTAATCATCTTGGTGCAAGTTCCGGACGCAGTTGTAGCATCACGGCATCTATGTATTCTCGTGTCGTTCTCTCGATTCCACAATTGCTATTGCGCTATCACTACATTTGGTTAGTTAGTCGAACGGCTCACGTAGAAACTTTCTTGGCCATGAACAACGAATATTCACAATAGTATGCTATCGGAAGCATTGCTAATGACGTATAGACTTGCGGATTCAAAGGACTCGGCCATTACATGGAGTCTAGGCCCGGCGCGATAAGAGAACTTGCCACAGAGCTTCAGAATGGAGGATACACAGTTACTCTTGAGGCCTACAATGCCTTCGATATCTGGAACAACTTCTTTGATACGGCTATATCGCGACTTCAAATAACGGCAGAAAACTTCTGGAAACAATACGTGACCGCCACACTTTATACAGCATCAAGGCCAGTGCTAGCCATAAAGCCCGCCGATGATCTCAGGAATACGCGCAATTCTGTTCCGGCCGGACCAAAGAAGACCCCAGCGCTTGTACCAAACACAGGTAGCAGTGGTAATGCGAGGGCTTCGGCCAGCACATCTTTAGCGCTAAACCAAGGTACTACAACCCAAAGCACATCCTCACCCGGTACATCGGTGCCAATCCAAGTCGTCCCAGTCACCTCGTCGCAAGTGACAGCACCAACATCGACGAATTCGTCAACTGTGACAATTCCTCCATCTGGCGATTTCATTCATGTTTGCTTTAAAGTGAAGAGGTACTTGAAGCTTCGCCATGACCTACCATTAACGCAAGTCATTAAAGATCGTGAGCTTTTTGCCAACCTTCGTGAAGCGTATGCTGCAAACTTCTCATGGGCTCACCGCAATCTGAGCATATGGACTGTCCAGAAGATCAACTATGTCAGGGTAAGAGACAACTACTGTATCGAAAAACAGTTCTGACTCTGCGAGTAGTTCAATCAATGGGAGCGCAGCGAGGTTACAAACCTTCAGCGTGGCGTACCTCCAGAAAGCGAAAGGCATTATGCCTTGAGGCCTAATCCCCGAGGTTACGAGCCTGTGCTGGACAACGACCATCTCATGCATCGGTTCACTTGTTCGACGAACTCGAGATGTTTGGATGGTAGCATAGGCTTCGAGCACATTCCTAAACGTATTGATCGTCCAGAACCCTGGAACCACGATGAGCACCCAGATCTTGGCATTGGCTGGGGGTTACAACTAGAGGAAGGATGCTTCCACCGCCTTTGTATAATCGTTGTCGGCGGAGTCGTTGTGAGCGCTGTGATTGGAATAATCTGGTCGGCTCTTACTGGAGACGTACAGAGTGGTTTCGTGGTTGCTAGCTGGCTACTCACCAGTGGGACTATTTTGGTAGCCACGGTCCAGCTACTGGTGACATTGCCAGCAGTTTGAGATACAGCGTAGGATGACACTACGAGGATCAGGTGTTATCGTAATAGAAAGCGCTGGATTGATACTCTCGATGTCCAGACGCGACTCCCAAACCAGCTTTCGCGCCGCCTGCCCCATTTTGGCCACTCCACTTCATCAACACCTCGACCCATCCACTTACCAACCATCGCAGCCACACTCAGAATCCCCACCCCAGCCTCGGATCACAGTACCCGTCGCATATTCCACCAGGGCTCGAGTTTGAGGGACCAGGCATTTCATGTTTGAAGATCGACCGTGTCGTTTGGTGAAACGCTAGTGGCGACGGGCCTGCAACATTATGCAGCTGCGGGTGGATCACGGCAACTAGTATTCGCCTAACATGATGCTGAATAGGATAGTTGCGAGTGATTGGAAACCGAAGATTTGAGTGTGTGGTTTTGCATGTTCGGAATCAACCGTGTTTGGTGCGACTTGTCATGCGCGCGGGGTGGAGTTACTCGTTTTGGTGCGGGCTGCAAGAACGACACCACGGTGCGATCAGCACTACGACAGAACCTCACACATGAGTAACTCATCAGTGCTGATTGTGACCTTCAGCATGGAGTAATTTTGACGTGAGTTGAATATTCTGATAAGTCAATAATGTGATGGTGGTATTATGTGAAACATACATGCGTTTGCTTGTTTAGTGGGATTCTGCAACTCCAAAGACAGCGTTTCGCAAATCCACGATCTTGCATTGAGAGTTTCCGCCTTGGCGCCTTTAGCCTTCATCCCCAGGCGCAGACGAAACTGAGTATCGGAACGTTGACACCTCTCAGCGCCTGGGTAATCGGCACTCCGCCACAGCCAAGTATGGGAGGGAAACGCCTCACTGCCGCCAAGCACGTTTAGCCTTGCCGGAAGACCTTCGAAAACGCATCTTGACACAAGAGCCTGCCTGTATCCATACTGAATTGTACATGCCAATGACGAGCTGGGTGGAGCGGTGGGCGGCTGTCATCCCAATGGAGAATACGATGCGATGTAGATCGACAATGCAGCTCAATGGGAAAGAGGTATAAGATGCCTTGTTGAAGCCGGCTCTACAATCATCATCAGCATTCAACTCTTCAACTCCTCTACTAATACTTCATTCTCCATTAGCCTGGTGCTTCTTGCTTTCCACCTCTACTTCCAACTACCCATACTTTTTAATCCACCGAGTTGATCTCGATCCCAAACACACATATACAATATGCACTTCTCACCAGCTCTCGTCCTCGCCCTTGCGGCTGCCGTTTCTGCCCACGGTGTGGTCTCTGAGATCAAGGGCGCCAACGGAGTAACCATGCCGGGCTTGACTATCCAAGACGGAACTCCTCGCGACTGCTCTTCCAAGTAGGTCTTGTAACCTTCTATTCTTCAAACAGATCACTAACCAATTATCAGCGGCTGCGGTTCTCAGGCCGACACTGCCATCATCAGGGACCGCGAAATCGCCAGTGGCAAGACTGGTCCTCTTGGTCGCACACAGGGTAACGGCAACGTTGATGCTGCCGTTATGGTTGGTGCCTTCATGGGACAGGGTGCCGCGCCTCCTGCAAACAACGGTGCTTCTGGAAGTGTTGGTGTCGAGGACAACATTCAACAGCCTGGCCAGAGGAAGCGCCAATTCCTCAGCGGTCTTCTTGGTGGAGGCGCTGGTGGTGCTGGAGGTAACAAGGCCGGTGCTACTGGCATCGCTGGACTGCTTGGTGGAGGTGGTGACAAGGTCAACGGCCCACCCGAGTCACGCGTTGCAGCCGCAGTAGGAGCGGGTGCCACAAGCGGCATGCCCACATGCGCTGACGACGGTACCGTCACCATGACTCTGCGCCAGGTAAGCGATCACTCCTACTCTTTTCTATGCATTGCTAACTCATTCCTTCCAGATCAACCAGGACGGTGCTGGACCATTCACTGCCGACGTTGATGGTACCTCAGGCGGAACTGACGAGGCTGCCATGCAGCCTGCTACCGTCACCCAGGACGTTCCTGGCCTCGGTGTTCAGGGCATCTCGCTCGCCACCAACACCGAGTTTGCCATGAAGGTACAGATGCCGGCTGGCATGACTTGCGACGCCACTGTCGCTGGTGTCAACAACGTCTGCGTTATGCGCGTCCGCAACGGTGCTGCCGCGGGTCCCTTCGGCGGATCTGTTGCTTTCACACAGGGTGCCGCCGCCAGGAAGCGTGCCATCGCTTACAAGCTCAAGAAGCGCATGGAGATTGGCAACAAGAACTAAGGTGGATGTGATGAACACTCTACCTCAATGTTAATACATGGACTGGCTGGTTCAGCGCCAATGATCGATGATGGAAATCGGGTACATATGGATAATGAGTATTGTAGAGTATAACGAATCGCAATGAATGCTTCATACGAAAAGATATCTGCGTTCTTCGTGCACAGGTCGTTGTGAAGCAGCAAACACTTAGGTACTCTGCTGCAAGTTTGGATCCGAACTATCGGCAAAGGATTCATGATGCCGGGTGGTCGCTGGCGTCGGGATTAGTGGATTTAAGGGTGGCGGTTTACCGGGAGAAGTGACGCCAAGGTGAAGGATCGAAAACCCACTAAGCTAAGCCTAAGGTGGACCAAGCTTATCGCGACTGCTATTCTGCCCCCGCCACCCGGTTGTTATCCTACTCTGAAGCCTGCAATCAACACAGCAACAACCAGTCCAGAATTGGGACGAGACGTACCCTTCCAGCTTTGAAGAGATTCTGCTCATGGTCGCCTTTCGTCAGAATGCTACTAAACTACTCAGACCCTGTTATCGCGCAATCCACATTAAAAATCGCAACATGCACCAAGCCATAGTCCGCTATTATTCGTCACAGATCTACCGTTCCCACGCCAAGTAAAAACTAGGAGGTCGCTTATAACGGTGGTATGCCTAGTTTTACGCATCTGTATCTCTGACCACCATCTTCCGGTTCGACATGGCCCTCTTTGATTCGAAAGCTCACGCCGAGCACCCGTCGCCCACGGCAAACTATAGCGACGATGACTTCCAACGGATGGACCCCAGCGGAGTCAAGCGAGGCCTCAAAACTCGTCATCTATCCATGATGGCGCTCGCTGGGATCATTGGACCTGGTATTCTGGTCGGTACTGGTGGCGCCCTCGCAGAAGGAGGACCGGCATCTCTGCTCATAGCTTTCAGCGTTATCGGATTCATCGCATTTAGCATCACGCAATCTTTGGGAGAGATGACAACACTGTATCCGACTGGTGGTGCTTTCGTTACGCTTTCCGATCGATTTGTCGACAAAGCATTCGGAGTAGCGGTGGGCTGGCAGTACTGGCTGGTGTGGGCATGCGTGCTAGCCAACGAGTACAATGTCATCTCCTCTATTCTGGTCTTTTGGGGTCCGGAGGTGCCTCTATGGGGTTACTTCCTCATCTTCTGGTTTGCATTCTTAGGCTTCCAGATGTTGGGCGTCGAGTCTTTCGGCGAAGCGGAGTTCTGGCTTGCCCTGATCAAGCTTGCGGGTCTCTGCGCCTATTTCATCTTTGGCATCATCTATGCTTCTGGCGGTCTCATTGGGCAAGATGAAGCTCTCGGATTTCGGTACTGGAACGATCCCGGCCCCTGGGTAGACGGCTTCCGCGGAGTAGCCACAGTCTTCGTTTTCGCTTCGACGTTTTACGCCGGTGTCGAGGCGGTTGCTGTGGCCGCTACAGAGACCAGAAACCCATCGGTAGCTGTTCCTCTGGCAATTCGACAAGTCATTTGGCGAATTCTCTTCGTATACATAGGGGTTGCCTTCTTCTTCGGGCTCACCTGCCCCTCGAATGCGGACGGCCTAGCGAACGGAGCCAGCCGCGCACTCAAAAGCCCTATGACCATAGCGATCCAAAACGCTGGATGGGAAGGAGGCGTGCATTTGATCAATGCATTCATCTTTATCACAGTTCTGAGCGCTGCGAACAGCTCAATCTACATTGGGTCTCGAACGATACTCTTCATGGCACAAGAGAAAATGGCGCCGAAGTTTCTTGGGAGGACGAACAGCCGTGGAGTCCCAATCTACGCCATTGTTTTCACGAACCTCTTCGGTGCGATATCCATGATGAACGTCAGCACTGGAGGTGGCCAGGCGTATTCCTACATCGTCAATCTGAGCGGTGTCTCTACCTTCCTTGTTTGGGGTTCTATCTCCTTTACGCACATTCGCTTCCGGAAAGCTTGGAAAGCACAAGGTCGAACGCCCGACATGTTACCTTTCAAGTCGCTAGCTTACCCGTGGAATGCCTACTTTGGAGTATCAGCCAACATATTCCTTGCTCTTGTCCAGGGTTGGACCACGCTGAGCCCATTCGATGCAGGCACATTTGTCGACGCTTACATTATGTTGCCGGTATTCGGGATCATGTTTGCGGGATACAAAGTCATATTCAAGACAAGATTCAGGCGAAGCCAAGAGGTTGATCTTGACACCGGAATGAGGAAGGACTTGGATACGAAGGACGAATATGTGCAGACAGAACCGCAGACCGAGCCACGAGTGAAGCAAGGCTTCGTCCAGAACCTCTGGCGAAATTTCTGAGTAATATGATCAGTGTTTTTGATCGCCTATACGATAACACATCGATCAACAAAAGTATAATTGTATTATGCGACTCTCGTTCGCGCAAATGCAAGTAGCTACGAAGAAAGGCTGACAATGGCCGCTTGATAAATGGTACCAAGCGCCTCATGCGACATTTCGTGGTGCATGCCTTTTGAATGACCCAATCGGTCTAAAAACCCCGCATCAATCGCCGTGGACTATACCACAATCTAATAATAACAGCTCACTAAGGACCAGAAGGATGCTACTCCGTCGAGTTCTCTCGTGGCATTACGCCCAGGAGGATCGTGAACCCTGTCGTGCTATGGTGTAATTGGCCATGATCGATAATTAATAGCCGTGGGCCTCTGCTCGCGAACCTAGTCGCGGTAGCCTAACTGTGCGGGCGACCACGCCGCCAGGCTGCATAGTGTCATGCAGCCTCACAAGTTACTCTTCAACCACCGATGTCATTTGCGCGGTCGTACATCCTTCAATCCGTACTTGCTACACGCTCGCTCGTATAATTGAATTTCGCTGGCTCCCCTCCCATTGGTCAGACGAAACTCAACCAGATTAACATGGCGACGGTATCCGGTAAACCACGCCAGAGAGCCTGGAAACCCAAAGCTCGCTCTGGTTGTAAAACTTGCAAGTAAGTCGCTGCGTCAACTATAAAGTGTGCCAATCTCCATAGCACGGTATGGCTTGCACTACGTTTGTGGCTGGGCTCATAGCCCGCGAAGCACACGCCGCCCACGGGCAGGTAACGCCAAACGTCAACCGATAAGCCATTCTTCAGCTCCAAGCCGCATCATCATCGAATCCCACCACACATGAACTCGAAGCTGAACATATCGTCTTTTAGTACTGCTGTGCATCCAATGGCCTCTTGCTAATCTGTACAGAATACGCAAAGTCAAGTGTGATGAGGAGAAACCGAACTGCAGACGATGCACCTCAACGGGCCGTACGTGCGATGGCTACGATCCGACTTTCAGACCTCCGCCACCATCAACGCCCTCGCCTCCAGAGTCATCGAGAAGTTCACCTCAGTCGATATCAAGTTGGAGCCTGACGCGGTCTCATTCGCCAGTGTTCATCGCTCCAGCCATTCGTCTCGATACCAAAGAGGAGCGAGATAGTTTCGAGTTCTTCATGACACATGCCGTCTCAAATTTGCGCGGGTTCCTTGATTCGCCGTTCTGGCAACGAGAACTGCTTCAAGCCGCTCATCGTGAGCCCGCGATTCAACATTGCATCATCGCTTTGGGCGCTATGTATCGACGCTTTTCCGAAGGCTGCGACTCACGTCTAACCGAGACAGCCATGCTGGATAATTACCTACAATTCGCTTTGCGTCAGTCGAACCAAGCAATTCAGGATTTGTTGAAAAAGCCGAAGGGTAACGACAAAGTAGTCAAATCAGATAAGATCACGCTCATGACCTGCGCTATCCTGTTCACCAGCATGTGTTGTTTGCAGGGCTACCAAAGAGACGCAATCGAACACGTACGCAGCGGCATCCGGATGTTGAACGAAGTGGACCAAGGGAAAGAAAAGTTTGATCACCCAATAGAACTGGAGTCTATACGCACCATCTTTGTGGGATTCGATACGCAGATCAGGGCGATAATGCCAACGCACATTTCACCATCCTGGGTCGCGAAGCCCAAGACTAAACCACTGAGCAGCTCAACGAGCATACTGAGCATGTCTGCACTACATGCGATGTTGGGACACACACAGAGCCTACTAAACAGCATCCACGCCTTCAACCAAAGAACAAAACTACGCCCCGCGGACGAAGTCGAAGAAGTATACATCGAATACCTCGACCTCATCTCCCGCTACCACCGCGGCAAACTCACCATGGACAATCTGTGGAAACAAGCCCCTGCCTACGGCGAACAATACACCGAACCCCTCACGGCATTGGAACTAACACAAGCACAAATGGAATTCCTCCTCCGCGCCCCACGAGCCGATCTAATCCAGAAATTCCCCTGTCTAGGCGACTTCAAACCCGCGCGGAAACCTTTCGTCGAACCCTTTGACATGGCCGCACAATTCGTCCTCATCTTCGAACTTGCTGCTAAACTCCTCCCTCTTTCAGGCGCGCAGACACCTATCTTTCAAACACCTGTTGGTCCCACATCCGCACTCTGGGCCATCGCTGTGCGCGCACCGTCTTCGTGTCAAGCACTGCGCAAGCGCGCTGTAAAGCTCATGTTGAGCCATCCCCGACGGGAAGGGTTCTGGGATGGCATGCTGGCGGGGCAGATTGCGGAAGAGGCGTTGAGGTTAGAACAAGAACGTGCGCGAGCGGAGATGGGTATCGAGGAAGATGAGATATGTGCGGAGCTGGAGGTGCCGGAGCATTTGCGCATTATTGCGTTCTATTTGACGCATCCGAAAGATAGTGATCGGACGGTCAAGGTTGAGTTCTCGGATGCGAGGGATTTGGCGATTGGGATTCCGGGGTCGGTTAAGTGGATTACTTGGTGAGAGAGCAAGGGCTTGGGACTGCGTTGGACGTCCAGCAAGACTCTCGATCCATAGGATCAGCGTACCCGAAGGACTCTACTTGTTCCCCTCCACCTCGGCAGTTTTTCTGCGCGACATACGAGCATCTTCCCAGCGTCGCGCTTGGAGAGACTAACATGTTGGCATCTCACGTCGTTCGATCTTCGACTCTGAGACCGGCTCCGAACGATTGAAGAGCACATCTGACAACGCGTGCATCTTCTGAAGACTGTGGACTTGGAATTTATACCTTCAGCCACGATGGAGCAGAAGAAGGATACCAATACTTGAATGAAGAAGCTGGACGTGAGCAGACGATTCGCATGGTCTGGCAAACCGCTCGTTCGGATAAAGATAAATGATGTATCACTGAATGTATCGTACAAAGAAAAAACATATAGTCAGCAGTCCAGGAAACTGCATATGCATGCCACACAGTAGCCATGCCAGTCCTCCACAAACACCCTCGTCCTCTCCGTAAACAAGAACATATATCCTAAGCACCCTCCTCACCCATCAAAAACGCATCCAGATCACTCACACCCAACCTTCCACCCGCCCTCCTCACCGTTCCCGCGGCACCCCTCGCCGCAACATCCCCCTTCTTCCAATTGACCCAACTCGTACTCACAATCCTCGTTTCAGGCTTCGGCCTAGCCGTCAGCCTCAGGCCCGTTCCCAGACTACCCCTCAAGACCTTCATATCGATCTTGCCGCCGCGGATACTGCGCAGGATGTGCGAGACAGGACTGTTGTCGTCGCCCCAGACGGAGCCGTACGAGTCTTCGCCTGGGAAGAGGATGCGGGTTGTGAGTTTTGTGAGGGGCGTGGTGTGTTTGGGGAAGAGGGTCGTGATCAAGTGGGCGAGCGCGGCGGGGGCTTCGGCCGAGGTGGAGGCGGAGAAGGACGGGAAGGTTGTGTGTATGCTAGTTGTTTGGCGGGATTCGCGAGGGAGGGGAGGGTCGAGACGGAGGCGCGGGCGCGAGGCGTTGACGGAGACGCCGTGGCGGGCTGTTCGTCGGGAGGAAGAGCGCGTGAAGCTCGTTGCTGGCCCTGATGATGGGGTGGTGAAGGATGGTGCTGCGAAGCTGCTGGATGGCGTCAAGCCCTCATCATGGCTTGTCTGGAGATCTCGTTGATCGAGCTGATTCTCTTGCTGGGGTGTGTAGTACCCAGAGATGTAGACTCGACGCGCTTGTTTCAACAGGTATGGGTATTGGTGCTTCAATACTAAGACGCCATAAGGATAAGACACGTAAAGTGACAGACCATCCTGGTCTTCTTCGTTATCGTGAACGACTCCATCGGCATCAACAGTAGAACGCGCCTGCGCGATATGTCTCCGCCTGCGAACACAATCGTTCAACTCGTCATTGATCAACCGAGACGTCAGCATCAGCGCCACCGCAGCGGGGAAGCCCAGCTTCTCGCCCTCAATGTCTTCCATGTGTCCATTCTCGACGGCGATCGTGGGTGGCTTCGCGACTGAGAGGAGAGATGCATCGTGGTGGCGGCGTGCCAGCGGCGCGAGATCGAGTGGTAGACCAGGAATTTCCGTCTTGCGTGCGCGGTCCTGTATCCTGTTGCCAAAACACGTAGTGTAGCCAGCACTGATCGTGATTGCGTGCGGTTCGGTGAGGAGGTAGTCGTAAATTTGGCATCGTATCTCAGTGGGTATCGATAAGAAGCCGCTGTAGCTGCTGCTATCCGTCACGCTCATCTTGTAATCGTAATGGTGAAAAATTTGTGGTATTCAATGGTGCCAAAAGTATGGGTCTTTAGCAGAATTTATTGTAGCAGAAATTGATCAAGAGCAAAAACAACGTGTCCAACGACGTGTTGTTGTAAGGTTGGGTGAAGGATGGGATGTCGACGAATCATGGATGTGGGGGGTGGAGCGGTGAAACAAACAGATGCCCTGCAGGAGCGAGTCACCGCGAGTCCCGGTGGCGGACCCAGAGCCTCACGCGACGAGGCTGGCCAACAGCCACAGACGCCCAATCACGATTTTGCAAACGTCTGTTTGTTTACGCCAAGATGTATGCAGTTATGACTCCTCCCTTGCGCTACGGTAGGTCCGTCGAGCTAATCGTCCTCACTATCTTCCGCTCTTTGTTGCTCAGCCAACTTCTGCGCTTGTTCCCACTGCATCGCAAATTCTCGCAATTGACCCTCTCCGCCGCTACTTGCATCTACTACATCCTTGGGGAGCTTGTGCGCACTGTATTGTGGAGTTGAGAAGCCATATGCTTCTGGGTCATCTCTCCGTACAAGGCGGAACTCTGGCTGCCATAACTCCTCAATTTCGTCGTCATCTGTGTCTTCATCATCGTCTACAGTGTCACCAGCTGCCCCAACTGGCACGCCCTTGTCTTCCGGCTGAGCGATCTTGAAACGCACAGTCGTTTCCTCAAGAGGTGTTGCGTCGGGTACCTCCATAGTAAGGAGTTCCATCCACGAAAAGATCAGAGGATCAGTCCGCACAGCCCATGGGTTGAAGTCGACCACCCAAACCTTGTCATGCGGTGGCGGTACGTATACGTCGAAGGTAAAGTTGGGATCGGGGAAAGTGTCGCGCAGTTTCGCATCGAAGAAGTCTTGAATGGTATCGCGCAGCTTGTCCTGCATGTTAAACAAGAAATCAAAGTGGTTCAGATCCCGCTGGCACAGGGCAATCAGCCGGCGGTTCCGCACAAAGCATCGGAACTCGACGCTCGGGTTCAGCGTAATCCACTTTCTCAAGACGAGATGGTATGGGATTTCCGGGTCTGGCGTTGTAGACTGGTTGGCTGTGTCGTCAAAGGCGTGCGCCAGATCGTGTGTGACAAAGTCGCTGCTTTTCAGCAGCAGGTAGATGTCGTTTGGTGTCCGGCACTCCATGCTGTTGGTTGCGGCTATCCAAGTCGCGTCTTTTGGCGCGCTCCAGTTCAGCTTGGGTGCGACTTTGCCTCCCAACTCCTCGATGGTCCGCTCGATGGCTTCGTGGGTGTCGCGCCAGTTGGCGCTCGGGTCTTGACCTTCGTCGTCATCGTCGTCATTGTTGTCCGCACCCGAAAATATTCCGCTGTCATTGTCTGACCATGAAGGGTCGTCGTTCTCTTCGGGAGGTAGGATGATACCGTCTGATCGGAGGTAGTCGAGGAAGGCGGCTGGGAGGGGGATGAGACGCGCTTTGGGTGTTACAGCGCGGTATCTATTGGGATTAGAGGAGGACCTAAGAACGAGAAGGAGTAGAGACTAACTTGGGATGCCATTTGTGGTATGAGCAGTTCAGGATGTGGTCTTTGGTGACTGGTGGGAAGGGCAGTTCTCTGTACCCCACCTCCACCGACCCGGAGGTGGTATCGTCGCTTGTGGCGTCTTGCGTAGTCATGGTGGTCGTAAAATGTGTGAGAAGGGATGAGAGCGAAATCTCAGAAGTTTTAAATCGCAAGGCAATGACTCCATCTCTGGGTGAGTCTGCGCAGTACCAAGGGTAAAGTTTTGGTGGGGCGAGCCATTCCATCATTGCGCTTGGGCCTCCGTGCTCACCTCCGAGCTCTCCGCAAACCATCCATCATTCTCGCCGGCGACACGCCCCAACGCGACACCCATCTCCACCCACCACCTCTCCAACCATCATGGCCGACAACGTAGGCCTCACCACGCCAAGAGGTAGCGGAACCTCGGGCTACGTCCAGAAGAACCGATCCCTCCTCCGACCGCGCGACAAGATCCAGCCCTACCCCAAAGACTGGGAACACGCCAAACACCGCCCAAGGCAGCCAGACGCCGAGATCCTTGAACACGAAGCAAAGCGCGACATCGAAGTCAAGGTCCTTGAGCTGCGCGACAAGCTTGAAGACGAAGGCGTCGACGAAGACGAGATTGACGATCAGTGCGAAGGCCTACGCCGCAAACTCGATCAAGAACGAAAAGACGGAAAAGATCTCGGTCCTAATGCGAAGCGCCTCAAGTCGCACCAAGTCCACGACCTAGCCAAAGCAAAAGCAGAAGAGAGCGAGAGGCTGCGCAAAGCCCTCGGCATCAGCGCAGACTATGAAGAAGGAAGTCACTGGAGGAAGCAAGAGGAGAGAATGCGCGACAGTCTGGCCAAGAGGGAGGCTGAAGACGAGGAAAGGACTGCCAGAGCTAAAGAAGCCAGGCGGCACAGGGAGGACGACTCTGATTGAGCTTCTGCGAGTCTGCTATTTGGCGTTATGATCACTTCCGATACCCACAGCCACTGTGCACCACCCTGAAGGTATGGCACTACTGCCTGGAGAGACTAGCATCCGAAAATCAGTCTCTGCCATCTCTATGACATAGCTCTAGTACCAAAGATAGCAACTGTCGATTACTGGTGCAGGAACTAAAGGCAGAGACAGGTCAGCTTCGTCTTCCAGCTTGCAGTCAAGAAGCAGACTGACTTCAACAGACGAGATCTAAACGAGCATCCAGTGTATCCTTGTATACTGGCTTTTGGTTCTAATGCAGGAACCCATTACACCATGTCAACTGACTTGACTTGACTGCTTCCGTGACGTCTCACCTCCACTGATGCGCACCTAGGGTGGCGCGCCGCTCACAAGCGACATTAGTTCTGCAGGCGCGGGATACCTATCTCCACTCCAATGTATCTTTCGGTACTGAATGGGCTTGTCAAGAGAACGGACGCGCACCGCACATTGCGCAGGATGCTTTGCTAAGAGATCATCTTCACCACACCTCGTTCGCTTTATCACAAGCAACGATACGACATCTAATACACGCATTGTGACAGCCACTACAGCTGAACGATAAACCTTGTCCGTCTGCAACGCACTGTTCGGGTTGGCATTTCTTATCGGCCTCGGTGCTTACCCCAGGCGGTCCAGCTGTCGGCCCACGTGGGTCACCTGAATGGCCAGCTTTTGACGGGCGCGCCAAGTCCTCACAACGACTGGGGTCATGCCCGTGCAACTTGGCTTGCAAACGCTCCACGCCGTCTTTTCCATTAACAC